TAAAACAGTCCATGTGACATCAGTGGCTCAACTTCAGTTTTGCGAAGTTGCGAGAGTACTTTTCGCGTGCTTTCTCCCCCGAACGTAAACAACACTGATTACGCTCTTGGGTACTCTCCAAAATGGCGGAAGACGTAACTCGGGAGAGAAGAATTGTTGAATAAATTATTTTTGTTTTCTTTGCGGTTTGGAACGACATGAGGGTGAGTAATTAATGACAGAATTTTCATTTTGGGATGAACTAACCCTTTAACCTATTTAATCTGCATATAAAGCATTAGAAACGAGATGTTTGTTTAATTTTTATTTTGTGATTGACTGTTAAAACAAAAAAAAAATTGTTAAAACAAAAACAATATTTGTTGTTTGTCTCATTAAATTTAGTTAATTTCAAAATACAGTGGTTAAATGTAAACAAATTGCTCTTTGTTTTAAAAAAAAAAAAAAAAAAAACTGTGCTACTTTTCTAATATTACTAACTGTGGAAACGCATCGTCACAATCTGTGAAAAGTGAAAAGGGTCCATCTCAAATATTAGGGATGCGCAATGTATTGTACTTCATTGTTACTAAAACTATTAAAAATAATTTTTGGTAATTGAAATAAAATTGATTAGATGAGAAAACTTACACTGGTTTATTTAAGGTAGTTGCCAAGGCAACATTTGTAAATACTAAAACTAAAAGCTATATGAATATTGAAAAAATTAATGTTTATATATGTAATATGTATATAAAAGCTCATAAAATTGCTAAAAATGAAAACAACAATAAAAGCTGATTAAAATATTGATAATTACTAAAAGAGTACATAAACAATGCTAAAATAACTCTGGCGTTGGTACTATATTGTTATCAGATGATTAGAGATTTGGCATTTTGTCTTATTTGTCTGATATTGGAATATTGAACTTTCTCCCAAATTAAACTCTTTCTACAACAATGAAAAAATAATTTATGATTGATAATAATGATTGAAATGTCTCTAAATTCAAATGCCTTTTTAATATTCATCTTTTCTTTTGTGTCTGTGTTTGATGTTTGTTTCAGAAGGAGAATAAAGTGGCGGCGTAGTCCAACCTGAAGACCAGATCGTCCGAACAGCCAAGAATCTCCGATCATCTTGTCTAGATTAACGCTTAGGTTTTGACTCCTGACTAACGGGAACTGCCTCTCTCTGTTTAACACCAGCGCAGGCGACGCCTGCCTTCAGCTGGACACGCAGCTTTGAGTTTATTTTCTCCTTTCTTCCTTTTTTAGAAAAAGAAAGAAAAACATTTGCTGTTTTTTGGAACCGTTTGATCTGCATTTGCTACGTTCGGAGGGGAGAATTTGTGCACGAAATGCCGTAAAACTTCCGTGGAATGATGATGATGATTACTATTATTATTTGGTATTTTTTCATCAACCTTTAGTTCCTTTCGTAATAAACAGAGGAAGGTATTTAGGCGTACAGAACCCTGCTGATACTGTGAGCGCTCCTCAGTCAATAGCTTCATTATGCCATGTTTTTTGGATCTGTTCTCTAATGTCTTTTGAAGCACCAAAACCCGTTCTAGAGGCTGCGGGGTTTGAGTCAGAGCTCTGCCACCCAAACTAAACAAACGGCCCGCTGGTTTCACGCTCATCCATAGGTGCTTTCGCTTCATTTAATAGTTTCACATAGTTTGTACTAGAACTTGTCATTAGTTTATTTCAGCCCCAAAATATCAGTTTTTGTGGATAATCTGGTGAAGCCTCGGCTTCACTGTCTAGCAGTAGGTCATAAAACACCCTGGTTTATGATTGAATGTATTGATGAATTCAACTCTTGTTTTTGTCCTGAAGCCCTCTCTCTGCAAAATGTATTTTGATATTTGAGTGCCAGTTGTTCTTGCCTTTTGATGTCAATTATGTAAATTTCTAAGAGGGCTTTTTGATATAAACTCGACACAAACCCCAAACGACGAGCCCCATCACTGTTTAACGCCAACATCTTCTGGAAAGATCCTGAAACCCTTTAAGAACCAGATTACATGTGTTGAAATTGTGTTCATGTGCACTTTAAAGACAAACGATGCCTGTGTAGCGCGTCACATGATGTGGAGGCTAAATTTGACGTCATTTCATAATGCTCGTATACCAGAAATCGACTTGGTTGAATTGTGGAAGGAGTTTTTTTTTTTTTTACAATTTCCAGTATTTCAGTATAGATTCAAAAGGGCCAATGCATCGTGTAGCTCTTAAAAAACGTTTGGCGTCACGTTTGATGCCCAGTCTAAACGGGAGGCGAGTTTCACCTGAATTAAGTGTCCATAACGAGTCCAAGAAGCCCTCTATTGTGAATAGTTCTGTTCCCTGTTTGATCCGCTTGTATGTTAACGTGTTGTTTCAGGTACCAGCTGTCTCTTGCTCTGTTACTGGAGTGAAGTTTGATCCCGTCTCTCTTTTGAACGTCACTGAAGCACTAGTTCCTGCACTGTTAGATGGGAGTTCATTCTTTTTTGGTGTGCTTCATATTTTTTATTTGTGTTTCAAAGATCCAAAGACTGAATTACGGATAACATTTGGAGGAGAAGGTGCTCTCTCTCAGCTGGTTCTGCATTATTTTTCCTCAGAGTTTGTCTTGTCTATTCATAGTTTTCAACTCTACTTTTAATAGCTCAACCGCTCCCTTTAAAAAGCACTACAAATTGCAACACGCAGGCAGCTAGTGAAAGGCAGTCTGAGCGATCACGCAGACCAGGGCATGATGGGAAGCCTCGGAGCGAGTGCTGAGAAGCTGAATTTGGACTGGAGTGAGATGTGAAGTGAATCCTCAGGCCTGATGCCGCCATGAAGTCTTGTGTGAGATGTTAAACTGGACAGACGTGCAGAGTGTGTCGATGTGATCTTTGTGGTCAGAGCTCTGGAGGAATTTGATTGGCAATTTTATGATTTTGTTATGTTTTCTGAATTGGAGCAGTTGTACATGGTGTGCTCTTAAGAGGGCTTCAAACGGGGCAAACTGAGGTTTTTATTCAAGAAGAGAAATAAATAGTTGTTCAGTATTCTCTGTGTGTGTGTGTGTCCTTGTTTTTTTGTCAAACATTTATGCAAAAAAGAACAATTAATTATGTGCCATTAATATTGTGAAGCCATTAGCTAGCATGAACTAATATATTGTGTACAGCAGTTATTTATATTTTTTAGTACAGATTAGCATTTTATCTTTCACGAAAGGAATTGACATTTTTCATTTTGCTTTCAGATTTAAGAATATTTAATTTATTGGTCTTTTTTTATAACTTCCTCAGTGTTAAAAAGTTCACAGTGCATTAAAATTAACACATCTTTTGACTTTTGACAAATGTATTGCTAAATGTTGAAAGTAACAAAAATGCTTAATGATTATTATTGCTGTAGAATTGTTCATGATTGCAGTGAAAGTGTTGCCAATAAACAGATGTTTTACATTTAATTTATAGGATTTTTTTTTTTTATTCTGTTGGGAATATAAAGTATATTAAGAAAATGAATTCTTAGTTCTTTAAAATGATTAGAAAAGTCAATGCAACATGTGAAAGCGAAAACGTTATTCTATTCGTTCATAATTCTTTATTCTGTACTCGAAACATTATGACTGTAGGTTAAAATATCACTGCAGTTATGTTACAGCTGCTTTTTAAATTAAAATATATATATATATATATATCAATTAAAGTGATCAACAGCAATGAATTTCTTGATTCCAGAAGTTCTGAGGGGTCAGATTAAGACATATGATGTCAGCTACGTGACTTTATTGATCTTTTTTTTGTTTGTTTTTAGCCACATTTTAACAGCATTTTTATTTTATTAGATTATTTTAATTTAATAATTAGATATTTTAATATTTAATTTAAATAAATGTATGATATAATAATAATAATTTGAATTTACATAATATTCTGGTATTTTGGCATTTTACTTCTGTTACACTATTTAATAACTTGATTTAAATATTTAAATTAAATATCCTGTTTCAAAAACGATGTGATTAAGAAATATGTTGTCAGTTTACATCTTATCATTTTTATTCTGTTCTTTTTTAAAACTTAAATATTTAAATTAGGTTCTAAACTATGCTTTGCTGGTTGAGAAACACAGCTCTGGTTTCTTTTAGAAGTGTTCAGAGACTGTGTACGGAAAGGTGAATTGACTGAGTCCATGAAGCAGGGGCTAATTACTTTAATTCCAAAACCTAACAAAGATTCCCTGTATTTAGATAATTGGCGCCCGATTACTTTACTTAATTCAGATTATAAATTGTTAGCTTCCCTTTATGCAAACAGACTGAAGCCATGCTTAGAAGAAATTGTTTCTGTTTCCCAGTCTGGCTTCATGAAAGGCAGGCACATAGCAAATAATATACGGTTAGTGTTAGATATTCTAGACTATAAGGAATTAATAAACGATAAAGCAATTATTTTATTTTTAGACTTTTATAAGGCCTTTGATACGGTCGAACACGAGTTTATGTTTGAATCTCTGTGTAGGTTTGGTTTTGGTCATTCTTTCGTTAAAATAGTACAGATGCTTTACAAAAATATTAATAGCAATGTCTCTTTGGTAAATGGTGTTTCTCCTCGGTTTGTGATCAGTAGGGGTATCAGACAAGGGTGCCCCATTTCACCTTTTTTATTTTTATTGGTAGCTGAATTTCTTAATATTTGTATTCCTCATTGCTTGGATGTTCAGGGTATTCTAGTAGCGGAACACACTTTTCTAATTAGTCAACTGGCGGATGACACCTGTCTGTTTTTAAAAGATGAGAAGCATACATTTCTGTTACCTAACCAGATGAAAGAACTTTACTATAAGAGTCTTCATATGTACTAGCCCTGTAATTCTTTACTCTCAAAGCTTAAGTTGGACATCTCTTCACAATGCACATTCTGTAATTCTAATTTGTTACGTACAGTTGTGACGTTACGTTTCATGTTCTGTTTTTCAGGAAGCGTAAAGGCGTCAGTGACCTGCAGGCGTCAGTAATGAGTCGCGTCGCGTCAGTAAAACCTCCGAGCAGCAGAAGAAACGAGTCGATCTGATCTGATGGAGGCAGTTGATCACGCAGTAAAATGCTGAAGTACATCGATTTGTTGCTCAGGGTTCGGGATTTCTGAAGCGGCTTCTCGTCTGTATCTGCGTCGGTGCTTTGAGTTCTGAGTCTGTGAAATGTCTGTTGTTTTTGTTCCCAAACGGCAGCGCGGAAAAGCGCAAATCAACCAGGAGACAATTCAAAGAGTGAGTGAACATTTCACTGCTTCATACGATCACGGACACACACACAGTTTGGTTATTTACGAGAGAGATAACCTATGTTAGTGAATGTTTGTGTGGGAAAGAACAATTTTCCTGCTCATCTGAACGCACGCAAATGTTGCCAGACCGAATCAATCGATCACAGAGAGAGCGTTCACTCACACCTGACAGGGCTGCGTTTCACAAAAGTATCACAAGAAAGCATTGATGCTTTTAGGAACGGCAGCCCAGAACAATACAGAAAATACATATACGTTTTGAGTTATTTCACAATAAACTAATTGAAATTGTAGCATGCATGCATTGTTTGTGCAGTTACATTTATTTAAATTGAACGTTAAAGGGAGTTCATCCAAAAGTGAAAATTCTGTCATTGATTACTCACCCCTCGTGCCGTTCTTCGGAACACAAATGAAGATATTTGGGATGGAGTCTGAGAGCTCTCTGGTCCTCCACAGACAGCAACGCACAGAAACCTAGCAAGGACATCAGTAAAGCAGTCCATGTGACATCAGGGGTTCAACCTAATTTTACAAAGCTACGAGAATGCTTTTTGTGCGCAAAGAAAACAATAACAACATCATTTATTCAACAATTCTTAAGGTCCCTTATGAAAATTAACCATGGTTTTAAAGGGGTCATATAATGCTGCTAAAAAGAACATTAGTTGGTGTAATGAAATGTGTTTATGCGGTTTAAGGTTCAAAAAACACATTATTTTCCACATACTGTACATTATTGTTTCTCCTCTATGCCCGCCGGTGGCATCAACAATACTACAGCGAGAATAAAAGTTACGCCTTCTTTCTTTGCGTGAACATTTGGGCGGCGTTATGCAAATCTTCCCACATAGTGACGTAGATATGTGGGGGCGTGTTAGAACGAGCCGTTTTAGGTAGGTGTGGCTGACTCTTAACTTTTATAAAGAATATCTCTTTAGATTTGAGACTTTAGTGTTTGCAACTTTACAGATCTTCTTTATGCACCAAGAGCTTGTAACACTCCAAAGAGAAAGGAACAATTGAAATCGCATCATATGACCCCTTTAACATAGTTTAACTATAGTATTTGTAGATTTCCGTGGTTACCACTACAGTAAACATTTTAACCATGTGTAAACAAAAATATAGCCTAATTGGTTGCAATCAAGCCGTATTGAATGTTAAAATGTGTTTCAAATATAAAGTTAAGTGGGTATTATTATAAATAATTTCATAATTTAAAAGTTCAGTTTAGAGGTATCGTATTGATATCGACGATACTGACCTTTTAAAAGTATCGTTATCATATCGAAAACAAAATAAGTGGTATCGCCCATCTAGTTACGTGACGTCATACAGCGCGGTATACATTAAAAACAAAATGTAAATGCAAAACAAGAAATTAAGTTCAAGAGTATAGTTGTTTCCGTAATATATTACGTAATGATATCTTTCTGCAAGAAGTTTAAATCACGTTTTAAATGTCATTAAAACCATGAGCTCATTAAAATTCAGCTACCATATTCACATATTAATACTTATTCATCTAATAATAGACAAATAACCTTAGCTAGTACACAAAGGTTTGGACCGGTCATTTACATATGGATATTTTAAACAGACTAGACAGTCGAGGCTTTGAAATGGTCATGAAGAACTACATGACATTGCTGTTTCTGATGCAAAAAAATCTTGACCTACCAAATCAGAGTATTTTAATAGTTTGAAATGTTTCGTAAAGTTAGGCTACTAACTGTCTGACATTGTGTTTCCAGCTGCTGGATGAGAACGATCAGCTGGTGCGATGCATCACCGAGTATCTGCAGAAGGGCCGAGCCGCCGAGTGTGTGCAGTACGTGAGTGTCATGCGTGTGTGTTCTCTTCAGATGCTTTCGTGTGCTTACTGAAGTATGTGCTTTATCATCTCCACAGATACCAGCAGATCCTGCACCGCAACATTGTGTATTTGGGAACCATAGCTGATGCCAGCACAGAGATCCAGCCGGAGACGCAGACCTCAGACGACACAGTCAGTTAGATTCCCTGTTAACATGTTATAATAAATGTGTTCATGTACATTCGTATGAGTGAATATAGAATAAAGTCATTTCTGTGCCAAGAGTTGCACCTTACATAATTGGTGGATATATATATATATATATATAAAACAAGCCATTTCCTGTTACCAGTAGGTGGCGCTATGATTATAACTGAATATTGGCATGTAGATGTCTTCAAGCCAGGACTCTAATCAAAGATGTGAAGTTTGAGGCAGATTGGACATTGTATGCATGAGTTACAACTCCCTGTTTGATGGCATTAATAGCATGCTTTAGCACTTTGTTGCTAGCATGTTTCTAACATGTTTAGCACACAATGGCATATTTTACTGTATTGCTAATAGTGCATCACAGTGTTAAATGTCACTTCTTCTTGACAGTGTAGGTGGCGCTATGACTAACTGAATCTTGGCATGTCGATGTGTTCAGGCAAAGACACTCATCAAACATGTTAAGTTTCGGGCAGATTGGACACTGCATACCTGAGTTATAGCAACTTCCTGTTTCATTGTATTAATATTATGCTTTTCCATGTTTGTAGCATGTTGCTAGCCTATTTAACACTTGCTGAGACTTTTAAATATATTTCTAGAAGTCCATTATGGTGTTAAACATGTCCCTTACTGTTGCCAGCAGGTGGTGCTATGACTATAACCGAATATGGGCATGTTCGTCAAAGTACCAGGCCTGGAAATGGCAAAAACTGCACAAAAATCATACAGTAAATTCAAAATAACGTACTTCCTGTTGGGTTTTGTACCAAGAGACTTTTTTTGTAGGAAATGGTGTTACATGTGTTTTCGTAAATGTACGTAAAACGTAGCTCGAGGAGCACTCTGTTGAATGTGTACAGGTGGCGCTATCGAGCCATTTTGCCACAGCCACTTCTGAAACCCATATTAGATGTACATTTTCGCCAGTTCTGACGCGTGTGCAACGTTTCATGAGTTTTGGAGCATGTTTAGGCCCTCAAAAATGCAATTCACTTTGGAGAAGAAACGGAGCAATTCCAATAGGGTTCTCACACCATCGGTGCTTGGGCCCTAACTACTATTTACAATACTAATTTATATATATATATATAATTATTTTTTTTTATTTATAGTTTTGCTTTTCTTTTTTACCACAGAATTGCATTGGCTGAGAGGAAAGACACTCCAGATGTCCCTGTTGGCGAACATTTTTATGTACATAATTTCATGTTTTTAGTTCAATGCTTTGTATAATAAATGTATAAACCACAATAAACATGCACTTTTATATAAGCAGCAGACATCCACAGAACATCTCTGTTTTTATCACTAATTATTTAGCCTTAATTTGATAATGCTTTTAGTTTCTAATAAAAGTGTACTTTAAGCTCCACTTAACATTTTACCATGTTTAAATTCTTTCTGCAGAAAATGCTAATGAGATTCCATCTGGATCTACATATATGTCATTAGAAAGTATTTACACCATGTTTCTGTTTTTTTTTACAAGATTTTATCTGCAATACAGTAATGAAAATTGGAATTACCAAACCCAACAACGAGGAGAAAATGCGAACGCTAAAAATGTATGCAAAAGGAGTCAAAGATGAAATGATAGCAGATGTTATGTTATATATTTATTTTTTGCATTGCTGGTACACTTGGAAATAATCAGTTGCCAGCTCTAGTGAACAATAAGCAACATACGCCAAGCAGTCGCCCCTCATGTCTTCGGTCAGGGCAACATCATTTCTTTTTATTTAATTTTTTTTTTTAACTCCTTTTATTTTTTGAAGCCACTAGTAAACCATTTTGACACAGCTGAGAAATGTTGAGCGTTACAGTCCAAGGTCATCGAAGATGTTTTATCTTTAAAAAAAAAAAAAAAATGCCGAAACAGTTTGGGAGGAAAACACGGACGAAGCAACGAACCTACATTTTGATTGTGCAAAGCACAGAACTATAAAAAGATATATACAGCAAACGATTCTCTGTAAACATGGTAAGTATGTTAGTTTTCAGAAAACATGGTCATATAAATACAGGCAACATTGGCATCGGCAAATGTCACGAAATGAACACTCTGGGCTTTTCAGATGCAGCCCGGAACCACAGAAACCAACAGGAATCCGGGCTCAAAATAACCAAACAAAAAAACCCCAATCCGACCAGAACCATTTATTAGTGTTTATAATGGCGTATTTGGTAAACTGTAGAAAGAAGATACAGTTCAACTCTGTAGGAAAGAAAAAAAAAAATGTGTGCTTCACATCTTGGGAAAATAATGTTTTACTTAATAAGCCTATATTACGCTAACTTATAGAGTAATGGTATAATGTGTAAGAAAATACAAAAATAAGATTAATACTGTCAATATTTGTACAAGAAATATATCGTATTTGAAAGGAATACATGTTATTTTTATGGAAAGTGTTAGTGTCGTTCTGAAGAAAGCCAATGGGAAAATTAACACATTTGACCATACAGAAGGGTTTGTGTTTTTAATAAAAGGGTTTTTTCTCTTCTTTTTCTAGATAGAACTACTACTACGGCTCCCAAACGGCTTTTTTTTTTTTTTTTTAAAGCACCATTTCCCCCCCCTAAACAATACTTTGGTTAGAGAAAATATCTGCAAGTGCTATTCAAAACAACATGGCACAAAGTTACTACTAACATCCTTTTTTATTTGTATTTTTAATCTTTTTTTATCTCTCAGATGTTGAAAAAGTAGTGTATTTCTTTCAAATTACACCTCTGCTATGATTACTATATTTCTGCCGAGCCTGCTCAAAGCCTCTTCATAAAAAGTAAATTTATAGTTTTTGTTTCTTTTTTTCGAGTCATTTACAAGCTATGGAACAGTAGCTGAGAGCTGCAGTCTGGGTCGTCCCACGTGACATTTGGCAGTTACAGCTATTTAAACACAGTATCGTTATGTGGGACGTCCGGATCTTCGTAATGCGGCTGCGATAGTGCGCTGTGAGTGAGCACGGTGGCCATGCATATCGAAAAAGTCGTGTAAACTCAAAGCCGAACGCCGCCACGAGACTGAAGGCTTCAGTCGTGCTGCCAGCGAAATGGTCCGACTAGCTGCTGTTAACATGAATCATGCATCGTTTGGACAGCGTGGAAGGCAGTTACGTTCTGTTTGGAGACGTTTGACACGCATCTGTGTACAAAACTGTTATTAACCACTATGTTAAATGCAAATTTCCCTATAAAAACACTTCGAGTTTACAAGGTTGGAGTCTAGACCAGGTTCACGGCACACCACAAGATGAACAATCCCAGCTAGGTTTCTACGGTGCCATTTTTTGATAATAAAATAACATCCTTCCGCTGCCCTGACACGACCAAAACCCCTTTATAAAGTCTCTTAGTGGTGTCCCGTTTGGGCTCTGAACTCAAAGCCTTTAAATGCTGATCTGGGTTTACATCCTGAGTATTACTCAAACTCAAAATATGCGAAAAGGGTCAGCGACCTCTACCAGCACGGGTCCAGCTCAATACTGGTGCAGGTACGAGGGCCGATGCTCGGGTTTGAGTGGGAAGGTTTTGAAGCCTTTGCTCAGGATCTTGTGCTGGGAAACCTGCTGCTGCTGCTGTTGTTGTTGTGTGAATGGGAAGCCGGAGGAGATCCCGGAGGATGGAGGGCAGTCATTGGCCGTCGACCACACCGGAGACTGCAGCATTTGCATGGAATCGCCCCATTGGCTGGAGGGGATGGTCATCTGGTAGAGGGAAGAGCTGGGATTGGGCATGGTGTTGGTGTGCGAGGAGTGCTGCCAGGGGGCTTTAGGGGGCCAGGTTTTCGTTTTGCTGTCCTGTAACACGAAGAACACAAGATATATTTACATGTAAATTCATGCATTTTATCTAAAGCAACTTTTATTGCATCCAAGGTACATCCTTGGATGCAATGAATGTCCTGGGAATCAAACCCATGATCATGCATCCTGGGAATCAAACCCATGACCTGGAAATCGAACCCATGATCTTGCATCCTGGGAATAAAACCCATGACCTGGGAATCAAACCCATAATCTTGCATCCTGGGAATCAAACCCATGACCTGGGAATCAAACTCATTATCTTGAATCCAGGTAATCAACCCCATGACCTGGGAATCTAACCCATGACCTTGCATCACATGCTAATCGAACCTATGACCTTGCATCCTGGAAATCGAACCCATGACCTGGAAACCGAACCCATGATCTTGCATCCTGGAAATTGAACCCATGACCTGGGAATCAAACCCGTGACCTTGCATCATGCTAATCGAACCTATGACCTTGCATCCTGGAAATCGAACCCATGACCTTGCATCCTGGAAATCGAACCCATGACCTGGAAATCGAACCCATGATCTTGCATCCTGGAAATTGAACCCATGACCTGGAAATCGAACCCATGATCTTGCATCCTGGCAATCAAACCCATGACCTGGAAATCGAACCCATGATCTTGCATCCTGGAAATTGAACCCATGACCTGGGAATCGAACCCATGATCTTGCATCCTGGCAATCAAACCCATGACCTGGAAATCGAACCCATGATCTTGCATCCTGGCAATCAAACCCATGACCTGGAAATCGAACCCATGATCTTGCATCCTGGCAATCAAACCCATGACCTGGGAATCAAACCCATGACCTTACATCAATGGAATCCAACCCATGATCTTGCATCCTGGGAATCAAACCCGTCAACTAGGAATCAAACCCATGATCTTGCATCCTGGGAATAAAACCCATGACCTGGGAATCGAACCCATAATCTTGCATTCTGGGAATCAAACCCATGACCTTGCATCCAGGGAATCAAACCCATGACCTGGGAATCTAACCCATGACCTTGCATCACATGCTAATCGAACCTATGACCTTGCATCCTGGAAATCGAACCCATGACCTGGAAATCGAACCCATGATCTTGCATCCTGGAAATTGAACCCATGACCTGGGAATCGAACCCATGATCTTGCATCCTGGCAATCAAACCCATGACCTGGAAATCGAACCCATGATCTTGCATCCTGGCAATCAAACCCATGACCTGGAAATCGAACCCATGATCTTGCATCCTGGCAATCAAACCCATGACCTGGAAATCGAACCCATGATCTTGCATCCTGGCAATCAAACCCATGACATGGGAATCAAACCCATGACCTTACATCAATGGAATCCAACCCATGATCTTGCATCCTGGGAATCAAACCCGTCAACTAGGAATCAAACCCATGATCTTGCATCCTGGCAATCAAACCCATGACCTGGGAATCAAACCCATGACCTTACATCAATGGAATCGAACCCATGATCTTGCGTCCTGGGAATCAAACCCGTCAACTAGGAATCAAACCCATGATCTTGCATCCTGGGAATAAAACCCATGACCTGGGAATCGAACCCATAATCTTGCATTCTGGGAATCAAACCCATGACCTTGCATCCAGGGAATCAAACCCATGACCTGGGAATCTAACCCATGACCTTGCATCCAGGCAGGGGCGGACTTATCCAATAAGCGAGGTAAGCGGCCGCTTGGGGCCCCGGGGAATCAGGGGGCCCCATCTGATATTGCCGAAACATATTTGCAGCGTTGAACAATGTAGCCAATCACAGACATATCTGTTAAACGCAATGACCAGAAGTGTTCAATTTAGAATCTACGCACCGCTCAAAATGCTGCGTTTGCTGAGTTCTGCAAGCTCGGGAATCCTCTCATTATAAGAAAGTGTAGATACGATGTAAATAAGAGATTAATTGTGCAGTGTAGAGAGCTTATTAACAGAACGTCATGAGATCGCAATGAACTGAAGTGAATGACAGCTTTAGTGATTATATGAGGGAGCACACTTTGTGCGCATTCTAGGCAGTATAATACTGACTGTCTCAGAACAGAGATATTCACCTCAGTAAGTATTGAGTTTCAATTCATAATTTTATTTGTCTTGATATTTCAAAATGACTCTCTTGTGTGCTTTTCCTTGGTGCGCCGGCGCGAACTGCCACGCACTCGTATAAAATGCACAAATGCAATGACTGGAGATTTTCACTTAATAATAGATTACATTTTTGATTTGTTTCTTGGCAAACCCTACCGTATGCCTTTAAGAACACTTGGAATATGGAATGAGTTGTATGGGATACTTTCATGTTCGTAAAAAGATTGAATAAGTTTACAATTCATTAAAGCTGCAGTCCGTAAGTTTTGCCTCTTTGTCGCCATCTCTGTTTGAAAACCTGGAATTGCAGTTACTTGCGGAATTATCTTCTTGCGTGGGTTGTACTCTGGCACGGCTCCAGCGCGGATGAATCTAATGTTTTGAGGAGTATGTGTGTGTGGCAGTCAGTCACCGCACCGGTGTGAATCCTATATCCTAATCACAGATTCTAGCCTACGTCTTGGAATATATGACCCAACTAAGACTTTTCACCATATATTGTCATCTGAACGAGTAAGTAACAAGTCTGACATGTTTGTTTTGACCAACTGAGGAAAAAAGCATTACAATAAATCGCGCTACCAATGGTGATTTAATCTAACGATCGATTATCTCATATCACATCAAACCGTGCAAATTATTTTTATTGTTATACTTTGTTCTCCCTTTGTTAGTTAACAACATCAGCATTGCGTGACTATGAGTATAGTGTGTATTAGCGTGTAGATTTCAATTTCTGTACAGTCTAATCTCTAATTATCATACCATTCGAATTTCATGTTAAGAAATTCTTTTAACCCAAAAAGAAAAGTATGCTCCCTTTGAACTGGTTGTCTTTAAAATACAAATCTTGTGTAATCCCAGGCTATATGTAATCAGAAGCACATTTAAAACTGAAATATAATTTCATTTCATTCACATGTGTTTCATAAACACATAATCCTTTCTAGATTACAATCCATCAAAATGATACATTTAATTATTCTGGCTGCTGTGAGAAAAGGCTATAAACGATCCGTCACCTGCAGGATCCTCACATCCGATAGCCTAGTAGCCGGGGCAACTTCTTTACGTTTACAGACGTGACGTTGTGAATCGGGCTAAAGTAAGGCGATAGTTTTGAACACTGGCTGGTTATGTACTTGCTCAAATATTGATTTTGGATCATTTTTAACCAAAAAA